TTTATTCATCAAAAGTGCAGAATAATTTATTTTCCTCCCTTACCCAATGGCTAATGAGCTTCATGCCAGCTATCAAGTGACTGCCCAAAAGAGTAATTTCTGCAGAGTACAATGCTTTTGTACATTTTTGACATGACTGTTTGTATCACCATTATTACTCCCCTGTATTTTTTGCCCTAGATGATCTTTCGAGGTCCCTTCTAACCCCTATGATTCTATGATTCTATGATTCCCCAGAAGACTGCTGTTCCTACATAAAGGAAAACTGCTATAAAGTGCTTTCCTAGAATTCTGCCTGCTTTTTGCAGAACCAGAATACTGGTCCTTTGTGTAATTTCTTCTCAGATGGAACCATTCATTCCCTTTCAAACTTTTCTTCCAGTTATTTATAATGTGAGTACTGGAAAGATGCAATTGTAGCCCTGCAATGACTATTGAGCTCTTATCACAGAGCTACCATACCAGTGCAAATAATTGCCTTTGTAGTGTCAGAAAAGTCATGGTCAACAAATGTTAATTTGCCAAGACAACAAGTGATAAATGCCATTAACTTGGAAAATGCTTGACAGTTTGTCCAAACAATCTGACAACAACTATCATCTGGAATCATAACAGATGGATGCCAGAAGCTCACAAAGTCAATAGGATGGAAAAAAAACTATGCCACAATAAAAGTAGGATAAATACCAGCATCAAGGTTTCTATGGAATGTTACTACCATAAAATTCTTTCTGGAAAGATAAAAGCACTGACACTCTAGCTTCTTCTTCTCAGGGAATATACTTATACTGTTGTTCTTCCACTTAGATCCTTCTATCCTGCTGGAAAAAAAAATTATGATTTTCCAAGCATCTTAGTTCATAAAATAGACATGGGTGAAAAATCCTTTCCACACAGTCTAACCTCTTCGTCAGCCACACTGTAGCTCAGCTGAGGTTCTTAATTTCAGGTTGATAAACCTTCCTGAAGTTTCTACCCAAAACTGTATTTTATTCCAGGTTCATAAGCATAAGTGACTCAACCTTTATACCACCCAATGAGTACTTATTCTGAAAAAGGAATTTTTGAATGACAAAGTAAAACTTTTGCACACCACTAAGAATGAGTTTTAAAACTTGCTTTAAATGTAACGTGTATTGTTCTTCCTATGTCATATTACTGTTCTATTTCTTCTCTTTTTACTTTAAATGTTAGTTACTAAATATACTTCTCCTGTTCTAGTTCAAGATGACTTTATTGTCCATAACAACCAACCAGCCATAATGCTGTATCTTCTCTCAATGAGAAACATATTCCAGATAATGACAACTCTATGGATAAGTTCTATGTTTTGTATCAAATTTTCAGCAACTCTTGTTGCCAAAGAATTCTAGTTCCCTCAGAAAAAAAACTCTGTAATTCAATGAATCAAGTTAATTTACATTAACATAAAAATAACCTCAATAGTAGCAGGGGGGAACACAGTAAATCCTTATTTATTAAAGACTCCATTTATTCACCTCTGATGGGTTACTTAAACCATTAATAGTATTCACTAGGGAATATTCTAGAGGAGAAAAGAAGTGGCTTTTCTGGAAAAGTAATCCTAAACAAACTATGTAACTGTGCATTTGTCTGTAACCCTTCTAAAACACTGAGCACTGTATTATGTAAGTTATGATAACCATCTTGTTAGTCTTGTAACATGAGTTGTTTTAGTTCCTCATTTTAGAAATTCTGAGAGTTGTGCTGTGCCTTATCATAGTTTCAGCATATGAAATTTCATGATTACAAATAATTTTTCTTTTTTTTTTTTTTCCCCTTAAAGGTAAATTGCTGTATTTATG